GATACAACGAAGAAACTATCATGGAAATACAGTAAACCAGAGAGACCGGTCAAGGACAACGAAGGCAAGCCAATCACTGAAACTCAACAACAGAGGAACAGATGGGTAGAGTACTTCGAGGAACTCCTGAATAGGCCGGCTCCAATGAATCCACTGGACATCGAAGCAGCACACACACAGATCTTCCTATAGATGTCAATCCACCAACTACGGAAGAAATCAGAATGGCCATCAGACAGATCAAGAGCGGGAAAGCAGCAGGACCTGACAATATACCAGCTGAAGCACTGAAGTCAAACATCGAAGTAACTACAAACATTCTTCACCTTCTATTCAAGAAGATTTGGGAGGAAGAACGAGTGCCGATGGACTGGAAAGAAGGACACCTCATCAAGATTCCAAAGAAAGGATATTTGAGCAAATGTGAAAACTACAGAGGCATCACACTATTGTCAGTAATAGGCAAGTCTTTAACAGAGTGTTGCTGAACAGGATGGAAAACGCAGTAGACGCCCAACTGCGAGATCAAAACGCTGGACTCCGTAAGGATCAGTCGTGCACAGACCAAATTGCAACACTACGGATCATCGTCGAACAATCAGTTGAGTGGAACTCGTCATTATAGATCAACTTCATTGATTATGAAAAAACGTTTGACAGTGTAGGTAGGAGGACATTATGGAAACTTCTTCGACACTATGGAGTTCCTGAGAAGATTGTTGACATTAGCCTGAACTCATATGACAGACTACAGTGTAAAGTAGTACATGGAGGACAGCTGACAGATGCATTCCAAGTAAGGACCGGAGTCAGACAAGGCTCTCTACTCTTTCCCTTTCTCTTTGTTCTGGTGGTCGACTGGATTATGAAGACATCTGCGGAGAAACTTGGAGTACAATGGACAGCTCAGAACCAATTAGACGATTTGGACTTCGCAGATGACCTAGCCCTCCTATCACGTACACACGAACAGATGCAGATGAAGACAGCCAGTGTAGCAGCAGCCTTTGCATCAGTAAGCCTCAGCATACACAAGGGGAAAACCAAGGTCCTCAAATTCAAAGCGGAAAACAGCAATCCAATCACTCTTGATGGCGAAACTCTGGAAGATGTAGAGTCTTTCACATAACTGGGAAGCATCATCGATGAACAAGGAGGCTCAGATGCAGACGTAAAGGCGAGGATCGGCAAAGCAAGGGTCGCATTCCTACAATTGAAGAACATATGAAACTCAAAACAACTTTCAACCAATATCAAAGTGAGAATCTTCAATACGAACGTCAAGGCAGTTCTACTGTATGGAGCTGAAACTTGGAGAACTACAACAACCACAATCAAGAAAGTACAAGTTTTTATAAATAGCTGTCTACGCAAGATACTCAACATCCATTGGCCGGATACCATCAGCAATAGCCTTCTGTGGGAGAGAACAAACCAACTTCCAGCTGAAGAAGAACTTAGGAAAAGACGATGGAAATGGATAGGATGTACATTACGCAAATCGTCAAACTGCATCACGAGGCAAGCCCTAACTTGGAATCCTGAAGGGAAGCGAAAAAGAGGAAGGCCAAATAACACATTGCGTCGGATAATAGAAGCAGATATGAAAACGATGAATCACAACTGGACGGAGCTAGAAAGGATTGCCCAGGACAGGGTTGGGTGGAGAATGCTGGTGAGCGGCCTATGCTCCTTCACGAGGAGTAACAGGCGTAAGTAAGTAAGATCCTGCTCTTGTTCGTGTCTCAACGTCTCGAAGTTTACTGTGGACTGCTGTAACACGTTCATTTCTAGTCTGGATAAAGCATCTGCTGCCTGATTGTCCTGACCTTTGACATGTCGGATATCGCTTGTGAACTGTGATATATAGTCAAGGTGTCGGACTTATTGAGGTGAGTATTTATCGGCTCTCGCTTTTATTGCATTAGTTAGTGGTTTGTGATCCTCAAAGACTATAAATTCCCTGCCTTCTAACATGTGTCGGAAGTGTTTAATGGTCAGGTAGATTGCAAGGAGTTCTCGCCCGAGGGTAGAATACATTGTTTCTGCTGGAGCGGGTCTTTTCGATAAGAAAGCAGTTGGTTTCCAAGCGTTTTTAATCAGTTGGTTAAAAGTACCGCCTACTGCTTTATCTGAAGCATCCACCATCAAGGCAAGTGGGGAAAGAAAATTCGCATAGATCAACGTAGTTGCTTGAGCCAATTTATCTTTAAGCTGTTTATTAGTTTCGACGGCGTCAGAAGATAGTTTGAAATCTTTTGTTTTTCCTTTAAGTGAATCTGTCAAAGGTTGCATTAAATGTGCACAACCGGGTATGAATCTGCGATAAAAGTTAATTAGACCTAGAAAACTTCTCAGTTGTGTTAGAGAACTAGGTATGGGATATTGTTTGATGGTGTCCACTTCTTTGATCGGTGTAATCCCTTCTGGGCTTATTGTGTGGCGGAGAAATTCTAGAGTTTGAACACCGGAAACACACTTGCTTAAGTGTATGTTTATTTCATGTTCAACCAGTCTTTTTAACACTGCTCGTATATTCTGTTCGTGTGATTGTAAATCGGGGCTGGCAATTAAGAAATCGTCTATATACCCTTGTGCAAATGGCATATTGGCCCTGGCGATTTTGAGCTCATCTGGTGCTAGTCTTCTGGGTTCTGCAAACACAGGTGCACCTTCGGTTTTGATAGTATGACTTACTTTTAGTTTGTCTTTGGAAGGCTGTGGGTTTGGTCTAGTTAAGTTTGAAAATTCCGCGAGTATATCTTGGAATTTCGCTGTTGTTACTGGAGGAGTTTGAATCAGGTTAAGAGTTGTGATGTGACTTTCTTTGTATTTTGTGTAATTTGGAGTTTCTTTCAGTGTTAAGCGTCGTTTCTTGGTGTGAACTAGGAATTCGTATCTCTATAGAAATTCCATCCCCAGTATTGCCACATCTAAATTGGCTATAGTGAAAACTCAGGGAAATTGCCTCCTGAACCCCAATTCTAGTGTTAAAGTTTTCTGCCCAAATGCCGCGATTTTAGTTTCATTGGCAGATTGAAGCGTAATTGGGGATGTTTCTCGACTCAGCTCAGTTTTATTATTAGGGATGATAGTAAGAGCAGCGCCAGTATCTACCGAGAAATTCAAGCCAGAGTTTCGTGCCTTTAGGTAACCCCCGTGCTATTGATAGAAGAAACCAGACAAGTAGTGAATAGGTCTTTATTTAGATCTTCGCGCAGTCACAGTGGAGCGTGGGACAAACAAAGCATTTCAACATTTAATATAAGATAATAGGAAATATAACGCTTATACAAAACAAGGAAGTGAATGAATAATTGAACTATACTGTTATGACATATGCTTAGTTGTTTGAGGTGAACTCTTAACCAACCAGCCTAAGCTGCTACACACCTCCCAATCCGTTTCAATGTGGGGATTCTAGATCTACTGTCCAATCTACTGAGGATACTGAATATATATTTGCTTTCCAGATGTTTGGTCTGGCTTGAGTCGACACATCATCATTGGCAACGATATGGAAATGAAAACTGGGACTGTATGGTCACTCTTACGAATGGGCGGAATACAGTGGTGGTTTGTGATGCTGTCCTCATATGAGATCTAATAAGGTTGATTCGGAGTTCAGGTCAAACCTGGTTGCTTCTTCCACACGTTGCACTATGTTACATGTGGTAATCGCGTCAACTAGTTCCTGCCTGGAAGAATCTCCCGACGAACCGATCCTCAAGATTTTTATTCTGCCGTAGGTTTATTAAAGTCTCCTAAGATCAAACATCGACCTCTTGAAGACCAAGTGTTGAGACCGTTTAGCAAGGTCTCATTCACTTCACAGTTTAAACTACAGTGTACCAAACCCATTAGCAGCTCTTGTTCTGTATATTTCAAGCGTCAAATAACCAGTTAGCACGTTTTTGCCACATAGAATATATTATCGATAACGATAAGGAGGATAGTGAGTAAAGCTACCACTTATCCTTTAAACTTCTGGATTTTTTCGACTCTTACTACTGTCAGACTTTTAAAACCATGTTCCATACTGTCGACAAACTGAGTCACCACGTTTTTGTGACGGCAATCATATATGACTTGGTAGTCTATCTGTTCACCTAACTCCAGTCGTATGTACAGCAAGCTACGGACATTTTGCAAACGTTTAAGCGGTTTTATGCTGCATCAAAAGTTGCTTCAGCATCATTCTCTATCGAAGCCTCAACACCTGAAAACTTACAATTCTAAGGTCCTTCTTGCCAGCATATAACCTTGGTTTTAAATTATTTTCAGCTTCTCGTCTTTTTATACAGTTCATGAGTGGCAGATGTTTTGTGATAAGGCTTCTGACGCCTTCTGTTTAAGCTTATTCTGTAGTATTACTTCAATTACATACGGAGACTTAAATCCCACTTTTAGCAGCTTAACTTGATTTTGTTTCAGGTCTGTTTGTTAATCTAGTCTGTAAATACTAATCATGGTGGCCACAGAGATATCTTGAGCGATTAGCTGGTTAATTAGCTCTTTTATTAAACCAAGATCATGCTCAAAATGAGTTCTGTGTTTCGAGCTTTCACTCTACTTAACTCTTTGAATACTACTGACCTGTAGCTACAATCAGCCTTCGGTTTCTTATCTACTATTTAGGAAACTGGCTTTTCTTTGACATTGGGTCGTCTCTTATTCTCGATCTGCACCCTTTCATCAACTTTCAGCGAAGTAGCAATCCTGATCGCGCTACACGTATAGTGAGATCCTAAATAATTCTCTACGACTTGGGTGGTCAGGTTGTTTTTTGATATTAGAAACAAATCAAGCCTTGTGGTTAGGCTTGACAGGCGTTTCCTGCTTGCTGCCATTTGGAGGGCGAGGGACACAAGAAACTTAATTTCTTAGTGCCGGAATGGGACAAAAATAAATGACACATGTGAAATGAACAACAATGGCAATAACGATCAACACTAAGGATTAACTTAACAAAGATTCAATTGCTTGAACACTACATATGTACTGTATACCGCCTGTCAGGCCGTCCAAGGTCGTTGGATCAAAACGGCAGGCGGCTTTGGAAGGATTTGAAGTACAGTGTCTATAAATGTCACTATTTTATTCCAAAATTGGTGCTTGTTTACATAGATCTCCAATTGCTTTAGGTACTTATGTCTAGCGCGTGATCATGCTTCATCCTTAATCCCCTTTTACATTTGTAATAAAGTTAGTTCATTTCGATATGAACACTGAACTAGTCGGTAAGACTAGAATTTATGGACGAACCCACCACGTAAAAGACAACAGGTCTCAGATTCCGGCGCAAAATTCATCCATCCATTTGGCTTAATACCGTTTTAGCATCACAGCTGATGTCAATTCGTGATGAAAACCCTAAATCTAATTCATAACCTTAACCATAAACTGTAAGTCATGATTCTAATTCCTCACACAGGTTCATGATCTTCATTTGGTCCTAGTTATTAGGTGGAGCTCCTCAGGGTCACTTTGGTGTCGCTCAAAGTTCGTCCATAAATTATAGTCTCACTAGCTAGTCAACGAAAACAGTATATTAAAAATCAGATGCGGAAATCCGGGGTCTTGTAATATCTGACCCCACCTTCTTTACTCTTGGCACCCCGCTTGGTCTTTTTGCTTACTGGGCAGAAGTGAGTGCGAAGTTACCTCTTGGCACTAAAATCGTGCTTCATCCTATTTACTAATTGCTATAATGATGGGCTATTTGGAGTAGTTCTGTTAATAACATTAAATGGTTTGCATAAAGTCATTAAGATGGTGGTTGGAGGTAGTCAAAAGGAAACCCTGGACCTAGGTTTTCATGCTACTTGGCACTCTTCAAATGGTTGTGGACGGAATAGAAGAAGCTTTCGCTTAACGGACTTCCGTGTCTAATAGCAGTGGGTCACTAATACCTCCAGGCAGGAACCTAGGTATATTAACGATAATAGAGGAAAAAAAAGAAATTGGTAAATCATAATAAGATGTCATCATTAGTCCTTAAGAATAGGTCAAGTTTCCTCTTGAGGGACTCCTGGGAAGTCGCTCAGACAAGTTCAGTCGGTAGCGAATTCCAGTATTCGACAACTCTTAAGGAGTAGAAGTTGTGTCTACAGTCCGTTCTGCTATGTTGTATCTCCAATTTCTGGGTGTTACCCCTTAGGTTTGTATTGGGATAAGGGGATGTCCAGAAGTGTTAAGGATACTGTAAGTCATCAGAGGGTCACCTCTAAGACGCCTATACTCTAGTGGGTAAATGTTAAGTGATTGGAGGCGCTCTCCATAAGGTTTGAATTTGAGTCCCCAAACTGATTTCGTGGCTCGCCGTTGGGTACGCCCTAGAGTGTCCTTATCCTTTTTTTGGGGGGGGGGGAATACAATGTTTCCGTACTCTAAATGGAGACGAATAAAACTGAAGATTATGTGGAAAGTTCTACCGTCAAACTGACCAAAAATGCGCTTCAATGATACCAGTGCAAGGTTTGCTCGAAAGGCATTTCTGTCACAGTTAGCGTAGGACTTCAAATCATAGGGTACCAACACCTGAATCTTTTTCGGCTCGGGATACTACTAGAGAGGAGTTTCTTAGGTTGTAACTGTAATCTGCAACATGTCGCAGATGGACTACTTTACACTTTGAAGTGTTGAAGGTAAGTCGGTTGCCATGTGCCCAACTTTGAATTCGAGTAAAATCCTCCTGAAGTGTCTGTGTATTCTCTTGGTTGTGTATCTTTCTCCAAAGTTTCACGTCATCAGCAAAATGTAGTAAGTCTGAAGGCACCTGTTGTGGGAGATCATTTATATAAATCAAGAAGAGAAGGGGTCCCAGTACTGAGCCCTGGGGGAGCCCACTAGGACATTCCATAGCCTGAGATAAAGTGAAGTTAACCCTGATCTTAAAATGTCTATTTTTCAGATATGAAATGAGCCAGTCAATTACAGGTTATTTGATGCCTAATCGTTTGAGCTTAGTGATAAGACACATATGGTTGATCCTATGAAAAGCTTTTGAGAAGTCAAGGTAAATGACATCAGCCTTCCCCTTGCGGTTAAGGATTGTCGTCCATCTGTCCACTACAGTCAGCAGGTTGGTTATACAGGAGTAACCCTTCCTAAAACCATGCTGTTGGGGTGAGAAGAAATTTAAGGACAGTAATTAGTCATGTGTACCATCGCATATCAGGGACTCCATAATTTTTATAGGTATAGATAGAAAAGCCACCGGTCGGTAACTTGAAGGTTCGCTGCGTCGACTTACTTCAAAAATTGGTGTGATGTGAGCCAGCAACCAATTTTCCGGTAGTTTTCCTCGGCTTAGCGAGTGTGAGAACATTACACTAAGCGGTGTTGCCAGGATTGAAGCTGCTTCCCTCAGTATAGCAGAATGAACCATATATGGGTCGGGAAGTGTTTTTTCTTGAGTACTGCAATTTCCGGAACACGAAGTCAGCGCTCAGGTTCACTTCGGAAAGTCATGTGCAGTTGCAAATGAGGCTGTCATCAGTATAGTTGATGTGGGTCGGTTGAAATGTCCGAGAGTATTGTTCAACCAAAGGGTTAGGGGCGTCGCCTCTGTTATTGGTCGGGCCATTAGGACCTAGCAGTTGGGAACCTTCAGTTTTGGCTTGACGAAGAGAGGCTGCATAACGGAATAAGCTTTTCGAATTGGAGACAAAATTATCCATAAGCTTTATCTGGTACTGAAGCCTGTTTTCTCTCACAGCCTTCGTGCATATGTTCCTTATATATTTGTATTGCCTGTACGCGTCAGTAAGGTGTACCTGCAGGTACCTCAATATTATATGTAATATTGAGGTAACTAATACTCCCTGACGTATTCGATCCCATTACATTAAATTTTCAGTCAACAACAACGTAAAACATCGTACGTACCTACATCAGTTCAAGTTGCCATACCACATTAGCACAGAGATACAATTGTCAATTCAAATCCCGTAGTGGTAGAGGTAGTAAAAGTATAAGCAGTAATCGGAAAGATTAGGGTTTGAAGATGTTATGTAATGAGTATAATCCAGTGAAATAAATTTCGGAAGAGAAAATATAGGACATGAAGAATTCAGAAGATTAGAATTTGGGAGAACACAAAGAGTGGATGCACCTGCGCCATTGCCAACGATTTTGAGCCATGTCATTCAAGGTCTCTAACCATCGGTTGCTATCGTCTCGCGGATTCCAACCAGGTAGTCTACACCTACCAACATGGTTCAGTCCACTTGTCAGTGACTTCATGGATTTGTGCTATGTCTTGATTTGGCCGCCCCTAGTTTTCTTCCAACCTACTCCTACACCATGAAACATCGCACGTCGGGGCAGTCGGTGGTTGGGTATATGTAACACGTGTTCTAGCCGTCTCAACTGATGAAGTTTCACTACATTCTTATTGTTTGGAATTCATTTAAATACTCCATTTTCTCATTAATTGACAGGATTTTGTATAATAGTTAATGTCTTCACCTGTGTTATGTTATGCTCCCTTCTCTGTATACACTGTCTACAATTTAAAGGACTGTAAATCAAATCATGAGAGGAAAGTCGAGGAAGCGCAGCTCAAAGGTCATTATTGAGAAACAGAAACCAAAAGTTTCCAAGATAGTTTCTGAAGAAGAAAGTCCAATATCTGATTATCCAATTTCCGATGAAATCCAAAGGCGTATTTCTATGATTGGTCAAGGATTTCATCTCAAGTGCTCTCCAGACTTTCCATTGTTTTACGAGTTTTGTGAAACTCTTCGTGCCGACGCCCCACTTGGTTTGAATGCAAATTAATCTTATTGAACTTTGTTTTAGAAGCACTATTAGATGTCGGATTTCGTCTGGTTGGTCCATTTGAAATACTTCATTTAGGATCAAAGGAGCCAGTCAAAAATGGCCAATGGTCAAATTATTACCGTTTTTATCACGATCCTCCGGAGTTTGTGACAGTGATTATATGCACTACTGAACAATACCATATAGGCTACTTCCGGTAATCGACAACTTTCTAATGATGTTTCTAGGGATTCATGCGAATCTAAACCATTTCTTGCCAAATCAACGCCTATGTCCAATGGAGTCCTAGAGTATTGTGGTCAGAATTTGTTTGCTTGTCTAAGGTTCGGGACTTAGATTATCGTCAATCTTCCTAGGTCTATCCTGCAAGAAAAATGTGCTGAATCTACTGACTTGTTAAAAAGTCTTATTGAATTTGCATCTTTTAAGAATATTCCAACAGGTTTATCATCATTTTGTAAGCTATCTACAATTTATGTGATATGGCTAAAGATATGAAGGATCGAAAGAAACGTCAAGTGTGTGCCACAACAAACCATATAGGTTTAATGATCGATGTGACTAAGAATGACGTTGGATACCGTCCTTTAAATATTTCTTACGGTAAGCTAAAACCACTTTCCCCTATGTAACTTGGTATTACTTGGATTCTAAAACTTAGCGAGTTTTACAGTTTCATTGTGTTTGGGAAGTTGCGTTTCTGACGGTTGTGGTATAGTGATAGCGTGAATCATATCATTTCAAAGCGGCTCAATTCAATTGAACACCGTCCACGAACAGAGTTTATTGTTATCTTGTTCAGTAGAAAACAGTGTTTAATTATATTAGGCAAAAAATATTTCAAGTGTTTATGTGATGTCTTTAGTGTCTTTCTTCATTTTAACTGAATATAGCCACAAAATACAGCTACTTATGATAGGTCTCGAAATCAGTTTATATATCCTTGCTACCATCTTCAATAGTAATTGTATATGCTTTCTCATTTATTCGTCTGTATTTTGTTTATCATGTTGAATATATAGTAAAAAGTGATTTTCATGGTCTTATTTAGTTGTATACCGTCACATAAGTAATTAAATTTTGGGATTTGAACACTATTTTGTTTTCTTATCATTCCTGCTTTATACTTAATGTAGAAGGGATTAACATACGGTTGTTTTGTGTCGTTTAGACTTTGGATATAATTTCGTAACTATTGGATTAGTGGTATTATGTACTATCCCGATGCTATTTTCTTTTGACAGCTGAACTAAACAAAAGACTGGAAGATATTGTCAGTGAGAAGTCAAAAGAACGGCAGTTAATTAAATTTGCTCCAATCGATGAGTTGATTACCTGTGTTCAGTTTGCCAACGATGAAGGAGATTTTGGTCAAGGTTTAGAATTGGGCTTATCAATATTAGCATTTCATCCTAAAGGTAATAAGAAGTATTATGAAAAAACTGTTAACTCGATTGTTTAAGCGATTGTGTGGAATAAAGCAACGCTGTCAACATAACTGTAGTCGATTCACGAGTCAAGGGGGGGGGGTAAAATTAAACTATTTATTATTATAATACAGTCAACTCATGTTAATGCTATTTCAATGAAAGTTAATGGAAACTAGAGTGTTCGAGTTAAAATGAACAAATTTGTTCTGAAAATGTTTAAGGTTCCTTTGGATTTGAGTATGAAGTTAGTTTGAATATCCGTGAATCTTGCTAACGATAGTTCATCAAATGTTGGTTTCTCCTTCAAACAAGATTTGGTTGGGACATGAGTCCAGTGAGTTGTGGTAACACTATTAAAATAACTGCAAGTTTTTTCTAAATGTTATTAAATGAGATACAGTTCATCATATACACAAAGTCTACGTAAAGTGAATACTAGTATGACGTCAAAATCCTAGACTTAAAAGAATACATATCAGTACATGGAGTGAAAAAAACTGATTGTGTTAGTCATATAGTCAACTGGAATGTTGATCACCATCTCCACATTTATGAACTCTTATCTTCAGGAAGTTCCATCAGATTTCACCAAACAATAATGTTATATTCTTACTAATTGTAGTACGTTTTTCACACTAATAATTTTATTTTATTTTAGCTCAACCGCTAGAGACAGCAAACATATTTAACAATAAAATTAAACATTTATTGTCTGTCGGTTATACTTTAGCCAATAGAAAGGAATTCAGTCAAGTAATTCAGTCTCATATGGATGACAGACGTATTGAACCACTAACTTTCACATAAATTACCTTTGCTGTATTTATCTATTTGGATCGCACATAGGTGTCATCTTACACTTGCATTTATTTTTATATTAATTGTGAAAATTTCAGAGTCTGTTGGTTTTATTATTGAAAACATTTTAAATTAAGACTTTTAACACATTGTTTTTTACTTACTGTTGTTTGTTATTCCATGGGATTAGGTGTTTTTAAATGATGACTTAAAGTCATTTACTGAATATTGTGTAATATATTTGGGATCCAGTTGGCTTCTTTTGTTTTCCTAATCGTCACCAACTTTTGATAATTTTGAACAACTTAACGCTTAAATAAGTTTATGAACCGCTTGTGATTGATAAGTAATGTCTTTAATTTGTGAGGAGTAACTTGCAGTGGATTTAGAGGTATTCTTGCTGGCGAATTAGCTTCCCCTAAGTACAAGACGGAACTTTTAAACTTTTCTTGTACATGACTAATTCAAAGATCGGACTTATAACATTATATACTATTGTGTTATAAAGTCAGTGCAATACGGTAACCGAGTACATGCCCCTCTCCCTGTTACTGCGCTGTACTTATTATGCAAGAGTTAATAATCGTACTGAAATAGAACTTGGATTCACAAACAATGTTTGAAAGTAGGTATCAGTGCCAAGGTTGGACTTGATAGTTTCAAATAAATTGAGCGTTGACTAGAATGTTAATAATAAATTAATTTTTGTGATATTCCAATTAGTAGAAAACAGTGTTTTTGACGTTTCGCGGCTTAATGCAAACCACTTCTGAGTACAATCATATTGTTTAAACTTGTTAGTTTTATTTCGGTTGTGTATTTACTCTGAGGCTTACATTAAGTCACGAAAAGTCAGAAATGCAATTTTCTGCTTATTGATATATTACAAAAAATATATACTTATTATTAACGTTTCAAAGTGTAGTCCATACAAAATGGGGCTACATCTCTAATCGTTATTTGCTATGAACATAGGTATTCATCTCAGTAAAGTAGTAGGGGGTTTTTCTAGTATTGTTGATGTGTCGTGGATGTAAGCAGAAAGGCACTTGCGAGACTAAAAGGAACATCAGTAACCCGTTAATAGTTTTTCTTAGTGCTCACTTTGATGTTCCACTGTATCCTATAATATGATTCCCTGTATGGTATTGACTTTTTTAATTGGTCAAGTAATTCACAAACCTTACTGTAATCTCTTATTTGTCTGTTCAAAGCACATTATTTTATTACCATTTTGTTCTCATAAAAAAGACACCATAGTGGATTCCATTTTTTTCTCCTACTTGTTCATTTGGGTGTCAACATTTATAATTACTGTATAGTTATAGTGTTCTCAACCTAACAACCCTTTCATAATGTTACAAAATAGAGAAGTCGGTATAACTTGGGGTTAAAGTAATTGGTTTAATGGTTGTATTTAAAAAGTGGGTCATATTAGTACCACTAGAAAGAATCGTCTTCTCCAAGAATCAATTCATGTTAAAGTAATTCAAACGAAATAACCCATGTCTACCAAGATCATCCAAATGCGCAACATGTTTTTACCGAAAACAAGTTACACAGAAAAAATGGGAAGGTACAACTCGAGGCACATCAAATTCAGCAAGTTGGGGAGTGTATCCCGGAAAAATAAGAACCGGCCAGTTATTTAAAACTAATTATTTATAGCAAACGCTTTCAACTAGATGATTTCCTGAACACCATTGAAAGCAAGCTTTTAAACTGAGAAGTGCACTGTATATAGTTAGGAGTTTTTTAAATAAACTAAATGTCTTATGATGCAAGACAACAGTAAAGGAAGTGTTTGTGTGTTTAAGTTCAAAGGATTTACACTTAGATGTTAAAATCATTTTAAACATCTAACTTTGTAGGCGTCAAGCTTTTGAGGGGCAACGAAATCATTCTATGTGGAATAATTAACTTCTTAAGATGTATGTAAGCTGGGCTGTTTAGCATGTAAAGAAGTGTCTCAGTGGTACGATAGGCATCAAAGTAGGATTGAAGTAATAGATGATTCTATTTTATTGATCATTTGGACTTACGTCGTTTTGTGTTCTACAGCGTATTTATAAAATCTGGATTGTTTACTTTTGAAGACTTCCTATTCAGAACTTTGTTTAAAGAGCAAAATAATGTTCGTGCGATTTCCGTAATATGTATTATTTAGTGGCTTCAATTTGACTGAGTAGCGCGTTTATCAGTTTAATGGATTTCTACATCATTTCCAAAAAACAAGAAAACTATCCAGATGGATTTAAAAGCAACCAGGAAAGTAACAAGCTTGTAATGAACAGAACTAAGAAAGCCTTCATAGGAGTCGGGATCCTCTCACATACTATTAATAATAAACCACTTGGAACAGTGAGAGTACAGTCAATAAATTTGATAGTAAAACCAGAGGCTATTAAAAAAACCCAGACTGCTTAAATAAGCACACATATCCTTACATATTTAGTGCATTCAAATCGATGTACTATCCGGACACCGATTTACTCCATAGGATAAAGTATCTATGCACCAAGTAGATATTTAGCAAATACTCGTTTTAGAACAAAAGTTCGGGCCAACTATCAGTCACGTGATTTTTTGTGCCCAGTTTGGATGAAATAAAGATTTATTTACTGTTCACATATCTTTCCTTGAAAATCACGAATTCCAAGTCGTAAGGAAGATTCTTGTAGGTAATAAGTGTACGTGAGATAAGAATAATTATATGGGAACTCCCTGTTTAGTATAGTCCGGTTCCACAGTCATCGTACGGTTTACGTCCATTTCAGATCAGTGTAAACATTCTATTGTATTCCTCTGTTTTATTATGTATATGCATTTATTGTCACTACATACATTTAGAGTGGATATTATACCGTGTTTATTTTTTAGTTCGTATTAATTTGCATACCATCTTCTAAGAACTGAGAAGCATCAATGTAATCAGTTTGTTCATACTAGAATAAAGCGTTTACTTTAATCATTAAATTGAACTAAAGGAATGTGTTCGTCCAACATATATGAGTATCGTTCTTAATAACTGAATCTATCCAATCTTTGTTAATCGGTTATAGCGGTTTAACTGAGTCTGTTTAAGGCAGTTCAATTAAGTTAGGTTTTTCCTGATCTTCATGCAGTAAACTACAAAAAGGTACTTCATTTAGTGATCAAAAGTAAAAAAATCAATGTACTTAACAAAGTTGTGAAACAAATGTATGTGGATGATAATTGGTGTTTGAAATATTAATATTGGACTTTTTCAAAGGGATCTGAGTGAAATGCAGGAGAATGGTCAGTGGATATATAGGGAGCTTATATTGTTAACACTTTCTATGTTCCCAATTTTACATATGGAGATATCGTATTTTTTAAGATAGATAAGTGATATTTCCTGAGATTTGAACTATTTCTACAGGACGTTATATCAGTTATAAAAGTCTGATACATAATTCTAGAATTATTCATGTTAAATTAGAATTCAGTGTGCATGGACGCCGTAGTTGGTATTAAGATAAATTAATTCCATTTAATTATTTTACCTACTTGTAAGTAGCTCAAAAACTACATTTATTCTTTATAGCATAAATGCAGAAAAAGATAATTGGCCATTATGAATGTGTGCATACGTGGACTTAAAGCAATTGATTGGTCTAAGCTAACTAATCAAATAGTTTTTGTTATCTTGATTTTATTTTCATCTAGGCGTGGAGGGAATTAAACCACAGAATTTTTGTGTGACTTATAGGAATATGTAACATAATTGATATGGAGTAAGCAATTTTTGTTACTAAGTATTGATGAATGAATAATGAAAGAAAAACATTTTTAGGAGTATTGAGAAATATAGCTCATTAGTGTGATCGTTAAAGCCCCATTCAATGAGATGCTAAGTTCCTAGTAGTTAAATAACGTTGACCAAAAATAATTTGATGATATTAGCATCCTAGTTTTCTGAAAAAAATATTTTGTGAACGTGATATTAATTTTTAGCGGGGCGTCGAGTCGCGGTTGACTATGATCACCACTACAGGAAGACTAAGTGCCAGTTTACCGATAAGATCCCCCGTACCAAATATCAGAAGGCAGTTAGTGACTATAGTCGAGATGTATTTGCTGGCGATCTCGTGGTATCGAAGGGATACCGAGATCGTGCCATGTTACAAATGTGGTTACTGAGCGTAACCGAATTCGTGCAAGGTCACAATCAACGGAAGGAAGAATGTCTTTAATACAGATAAACAAGCAAGTACAGTAAACCAATCACTGGTACAATTGGTTATAATAATAATTGTTTTTATTAAACCAATCGCGTTCTCTTGATAAAAGTAGGTCACTACAAATTACTACATAGCCCTCTATTATATTGTAAGTTTTGAAATATAATAGCAGACGACAAAGCATGCTCAATAAAAGATAGAAATATTGTTTTAGTTTCCATGGGACAGTTAAATGTTCATGGGAAACAGGTGTAAATAATAATGCACTTTGAAAGTAATATGTAATCTATTTTAGTAGAATATTTCATGAAGGTTTAAGAATTTCTGTTTAGAAATAAACATTATTACATATCTAAATAAAATACAGCAGTTTTCAATCATCTATAAAGTTGAGGGTTTATACTACATAAAATAAATATTATGGGCGATCTGCATTTTATTTTTCTTAGTTTACATGCTTAGTCATTTTTTGTAAGTAATCAAATTCAATTTAAAAGTGTTTGTAGTCCCATGCGTATATTTTGAGAAATGTCTTAGGTTATAGTTATCTTTAACTATATTGTTTTTTTAGAAAGAACATTGAAATAGAAAGAAGCGCACATAATCTTATTCGAGAGCAATCTAATCAAACATTTCTATTATTGGATTTTATGTAGAATCTCAGGAACTATGTTTTTCATTTGATCATGTTATTCACTGTTGATGAAACTAGTTATCTTGGAGGTTCTAATCTACATTATTAAATGACCCAGTAGAAAATGTCAAGACTAATCAATTAATGTGATTCTTAAGAAGTTTATTTATCATTTTTAACCTGATTTGTTTAGTTTTTTCTTTCCACTACTACTGCAAACATTAAAAACACTCTAAAGATAAAGGGACTTAACGGCATAATACTAATTTCCTATAATAGTTCTGACTTAGTGTTCAAAGAAATTAGCATCTAGAAATTCTACTAGTACTGATAATGATCCGTTGTTACATTATACCTCCAATCTTTATAAACACTCAGTTGATAATGCCATAAGTACAAAATAAAACGGACCC